TTAATTCTATGTGGCTATATCCCTGGGTTGACTGTTTCAGGGTCAAATGACTTTGACATGTATCAGGAGTTTTCATTGTGAGCATATTGTAGTGATAATATTATAAGTAGAGTAGGACGTATTACGGTGTGTTTGGCAAACCCTGATTTCCAGACCAGTTTGTTCCAAAGCAACTCCTGGATGCTCCAGAACCAACAGCATATAGAGCACCAGCAATATATATTCCATCCCAATATACTGTGTGGCAATAACTTCTCCACTTCTATGTGGATAAAGAGCTCTTTCCTCCAGGACACGTGACGTGATGTAGTCTTTAATCTTAATGGGAAATTTTGATGGCCACAAGTTCTGGTGGCCCTTTATCACTTGGATCAAAGCCAAAAGCTTGCATACATCTAATTTTAGAGCAGATTTGTGCTTTTCCCAAAAGAATGCACAATATATATGGGGCTCAAACCCACCCATGAGAAGAAGAGTGATTAAATTCTATGAACCCGACTTTGTACTCTTCAAGAACCTCTTTCAACAGAGTGACTACAGCTGCAAAGGGAGCCAAGTACATGATAACTTACTAGTAGGTGACTAGCAGCAACCTGTGAAATAGGTTAAAAACTCTGCAGTTTTCTAGAAATTCATCTCCTCCATCTTCTTTTCATTCAGTTTGATTCTTTTCCTTTTATACTGGGAAGCTGGTCCTCAATCTTAGTGCATCAGCATATGCTAATTGAGATTTTAAACCTTGCTTACTATTGCATATGATTTCATCCACTTAGCACTTATGTAGTCAAAGAAACTTACTTTTTTTCTAAACAATACTGGTTATTTGTTTCTCCTGATTCTTTTATGTTTCTAATATTACAGGTTGCTTCTCTCACTTGGGCAAAAATAACAAAAAACAAGGTATTCTTTGTTCAAAATTTGGTTATTTGTTCTATGCTAAAGTTGTTCGTCGTATACTTGTGTATTTGATGCACAATTATTGGCCTATCACGGTTGACTGGTTTCTTTGCTCTGTCTTTGTTTCAGCAAACCCTTTAATTATCTCATTCGAAGGGGCAAGTGGAACCTACACTGGTTGTACTGATTTGGCATATACACAAGCTGTTTCAGATGGTGTAGATGTTCTTGACTGTCCCGTTCAAATGACAGAGGATGGAATACCATTTTGCTTGGGCTCTATTAACCTTATTGAAAGAACCACAGCTGCTGAATCAAGTTTCAGCAACCGTACAGCAAATATTCCAGAACTTGGAATAGTCAATGGAATATTCACCTTTGATCTCACCTGGAGCCAGATTCAAAGTTTGACACGTAAGTTGAAGCCTGTTCTTTCTTTCCTGTTATCAGGTGTAGGAATCTTCAGCCTTCTCACAACCCCCTTCCAATTCTGTGATGAAGCATCCTAACTGTGCTTTAGTCCAGATAAAATAGTTGACGCACTTGCAAACTGATGATTGAACTTCAACAGCTTTTTTGATGAAATAGTATGCAAATTTTCCGTTTCTTACGGCAGACAAATATTTACTCCCCTCTTCTTTTAATGAGAGCTGTGTGCTTCATTGGAATATGCTATACTTATCAGGATAGTCCCTAGGTCTCCTCATTGTCTTATTTTCAACTTTACAATGACCCTGCTTGCTCCATCTCCTTTGGGATGTTTTTGTGGCGTTGATGATGATAGGTTCTGGGTCAGGTTTAGACCCAGCTGGTCAATCGGCATCAAGTTATTCTGTAGCATAGATGGCTATCTTATTTGGTTTGATGAATTTTTCTTTCTAAAAATTATTTAATATGTACAATTTATTGTGCTATCTGTAGTTGAAAACTTTTCTTTCTCTTTCTCCTCTCTCGTACAATATTTTACTGTAACTTGACATTCCAATAAAGGAAAAATTACAGTTGCCGAAAAAAGGATGATAATAATAGTTACTGATTTAGTCTTTTCCATAACCATGCACATAAAAACTCATCAAGGCTGCCTAACACCAATACCTACACAAGTCTTGTAACCAAACTACTTAGCAGCCAAAAGTTAGTTCTAGTAAACCTGTGGTTTTTGGAAGAATGGTGGATGCAAAGGAAGTGCCACAGTCTCACTACATTAAAGTTGATATTTTCACCCAGCTTTGAATATTTAAATTCCTTAAATGCTTCTTATTTGAATAGAGATTTCTTGTAATAGTTGCAACAGCCCACACTTATGTTTTCCTAACCTCCCTTTTGCTTACATTCAAGTTACTACATTTCTCTAGCATTTCCTTTCGTTTTTCTATAAAAAAGAAAGAAAGAAAAGAAATGGAGATCTATATTCTTTTCCTCAAGTCAGTTGTTTGACATCCATTTTTGGTTTCATTGTAGCGGTGATACAAAACCCATGGGTGGGCTATAGGCTGTACCGCAACCCGAATTCCAAAAATCTTGGGAAATTTATGACCTTATCTGAGTTTTGGCCTTTGCAAATAATGCGACTTAATTTCTGGTGTCTTAATCAGCATTGAGGTGAGTTAATGCTATGGTGCTTTTTGCGGATTCTTAATTGTAGCGGTAAAACATTCACATTAACCAGCATCTGTGTCACAATTTTTTTGGAACTGCTATGTGTTACCATATGATCACCGACAAATAAGTGGTAAACGAAGAACACAAAGAATTCACCGTTCCTTTGTGCAAAAAGCACACATACACTCTGAATTCACAGGGAAAATAAGAGAAAACTCTGAAATATTATTGATTGAATGACTTAATTGAATAGAACTTTAGTACATAGGACAATTTATAAAAATCTCCAAACCCCTAATGGTTTCCAAAACGTACCTAAATCCTTAACTTTAAGAAAGTTTCCAAAAACAAATACAGCACGTGTTTAATGGAACTAGGAAAATTGACATGGTTTAGTAAGCAAATCACTATAGAATATTCCTGATTAAAGTCCCATTCTAACTAAACAATAAAACTAAAATAAAAAGAGCAATTCCTAATTCTCGTTATACATCAATAAGAAACCCTTTATTCCCACTTATTTGGTTGAGATCCGCTCTTGTCCTGTAATGAAGGATCTCCCTAGTTTGATTTATGGGGTGATCATCCTTCCCTATTATCTTGCTGTTAGTAAGGTCTGACTATGAAAGGAGGAATAGTTCAGAAGCGTAGAACAGTCCTTGCTTTGGTAGCATTGTTCAAAGAATTGTCACTTTCAGCTCCGATATCGTCCTTGTTACATGTAAATGACTAGTCTTACTTGATTTTTGGTTAATTTGGAGACATCTCATATGACTTGACCGAGTGTTCTGAGTCATCATCATTGAATTGCAACATATCGACTGCACTGTTCTGTAGCATAGTGATTTTTCATGAATCTCTCGTCATGTCAAATTTCTTCTTGTATTTTCACATTTCACGCATATCACCTGGTCTCGTTCCACAATGTTGTGATGTATGCTTTATGGTGGCCTCGACGATTCTGCAACCTTGAACCATGCTTAGTAGCCCTTAAACGCATCTTCCTTTCCTTACGTCCATTCTTGCCACAATGAGGGCATTGGATAAGGCCTGGGATAAATGGCCAAGAAAAAAAGATATGTTGCCTTCTCTTTTTCTGGAGCAGGGCTTGCTCGTAGCTCCCTGTGGATATAAAAAGGGGGATGAAGGGTGGAAAACATTTAAGAAGCAACACTTGAGGGCACACTCACTAGATCTTCCTGGCCGTAATGTGAGTTAGGAGTAGCTGTGAGAGTGAGGCCAACTTAAATAATCACTTTCAATGTGAACACCACCACGAAAAATGTAAATCCAATCCGTTTGCTTCAGTCTAATGCTTGGAAACTGTAAGTCAACCCCCTTTACCTCTAGGAAGCAAGAAAGTGAGCAGCCAGCTGGAAAAGGTCTTTCCTTTGAATAATAATGATTAAGTTTTATAGCTCTTTTTATGAGTTTCACTTAGTCAGGACTTGGGTGCAAAAAGGGGTGTCATGCTGGTTTTGTGGTGCCATGTTGTGGCTGTGATGTTCCTGGTCGATTTCCAAGGGTGGTGATAACTAATAGGCCTTCATGCGCTCCAGGATTGGTGGCAAAGATGCATTGACTGTGGGGAATTTATATCCAGGGGAACACTGAGAACAACAAACAAAGAAAACATATAAAGCACAATGTTTTGGTAACTTGAATGTTTTTGAGATAATTTCATTCTGCACTAGACTAAATCAGGAAGTTCTTAATAAGGTGTCAGATGCTGACAAATAAAGTTATATTATTCAAGCTTTCATCTATTTATTCAGAAAAGAAATAACATCTCAAAAAATTCCCAAAACATTTTCTTCTTGGGTTCACTGACATTCAAGGGTAAAAAAACGATGCACCCTCCTTATGGTCTTAAATAAAGTATATTTCCCAAAGCTATCTATCTTATGAAATTCAAAACTCTCTCACTTTTAATAGAGGAACTTTATCTGAAAGTTCTTGTATTGCCTGATTTTGCTAAACCGAATATCTCCCCATTCATGCTTATTAGAGGTTTCTCCATAAATGGTGCCATCTCTTCCCAGCTTGCGTTGAGCCCGGAACTCTGGAACATAAAAATTCTCTCCTGGTTTTACCTGATCGGCAAATTGATCACTATTTTGGATGCATAACCTAGTACTCCTTTTGGTTATGATTGCCTCTTTCAAAATGGCTAAAGGCTTGATTAATATGTCAACTTTGGCATATTAAAAAATTGATTAAAAAATTAAATCTGATAACATAACATAGAAGTGTGTAATAGCATAACCAGATCCTATACACTACCCTTTCTGGTATTGTGGTTGGGATATATCATCTAAATACTCTGTGTTTGTATTTGTATTTGTTGATGACGGTTAGTTAATTCTTAGAAGATAGTAAAATCTTTAACAGTCCTCTTGAGCCTTATCTGACTGATAGTAAAAGTTCATAGTATATGAGTTTGAGTGCACTTTATGTTGATATGCCAGAATGTAGGGAAACAATATTCTTCTAAGGAGTTGTGCTCTATATTGCTTAGTACTCATTCTTTAAAGCAGAATGGAAGTTCTAGTTTTTAGATAAACAGTACATGAGGATATCAACCAGCGAACTTTTTTCAAACTGATGAAAGTTTTACAAAGGTAGGATGTTGTCAGTTAACCATACAAGCAGTATGGCTATGCATAGTCTTGTCCTATACTGGCAACTGCCTAAGAAGCCTATTATGTCATTTGAGCCTGTACATCTGAGTTTCAGCAATAAGACTCCTAAGTGATTACCAGTATTGAGTTTCATTGCCACCTTATCTCACTTCCTGTGCAACTTTATTAGCAAGGCAGGGTGTTTTTTTGAGGGGTTACTTGGGTTGGGGAAAGATTCATCCTTGCAAAATCATCTCTTAGCTTCCAGGATTATTCAACCACACGTGAGATTCATCCTATCATAACCACCTTGGGCTTCCTGCAATACAGAAATTATCGCCATATGCTATTGTTTCTTTGAACATTACACATTAATAAAAAGAAATGAAAACAAATATACAAAAACACCCCGTCTTCAGTCAATTAATTGCTCCAACTTACCAAAGTCACATGCTTGTAAGCTTCCATTTTGGGTTTGTGATACCTAATTTAGGGTGAGGCAGCTGCTGCTTTTGTTTCCTTCACAGATGCTTCCCCACTTTTAGTCTCATCCTTGGTGAGGAGAGGGTTATCGCCAAAAATATTTGTTTTGGAATCTGTTATCCCTTGTCCTACCTCCCTTGCACAGGTGCTTAGGAATAGCTTGTCACTAGGTTGCATACATCTGAGTGGACATCTTAATCTGGCCGTGAGATCACATTACCAGAATTCATCTTTCAGTTAACTAAGCTATGATTGATTGAATTTGAATGAACAAAAAATTTTGTTGGGCTCAATTCTACAAAGCTCTTGTTTCATAGTGTTGCATGTACTGTGTGTAGTGCCAAGCTACCAGCATAATTTGATTCTTTCTCATGAAGATGACATCTCGTTCTGTTTCTTGGCTTACAGAATGCAGCCTACCTAGCAACACAAGGATTAGGCGTTACTGATGCAGTCCTCAATGCCATTAGTGAATCTGGGTTCAATAATCAGACTGTCAAGAAAGTTATGATCCAGTCTACCAATAGCTCGGTTCTGATCAAATTCAAGGAGAAAAGCAACTATGAGCTTGTTTACAGGGTTGATGAGAATATCCGCGACGCCTTGAACGACACCATTTTAGAACTCAGGAAGTTCGCGAACTCTGTGGTCATAAGCAAGTCTTCTGTCTTCCCCAATGACATGGAATATTCCACTGGTGTGGTTACAGATGTCGTGTCGAAGCTGCAAGCATTCAACCTCCCTGCCTATGTACAACTCTTTAGCAATGAGTTTGTATCTCAAGCATGGGACTTCTTGTCAGATCCATATGTGGAGATTAACACATTTGTAATGACAGTTGGCAATGATGGTGTCATTACCGACTACCCTGCGACGGCTGCTAAGTACAGAAGTAAGTCTTCATATTTTTTAATTCTTTGGGCTAATTAAATTTGTCCATCCATCTTTAGTACTCTACTAAAATCGTTTTTATCTGTTTGATACATGGTTTTGATATGAAAGATCAGATGAAAATGTCATCAAATTTTGTGGCCACTGTACAAAAGCTGTTACTTAGCTGTCTACTTATTCTAACATCAGAATCCTACCTTCTATTTGAGTTTCATTTAATTAGCAATGAATGGGGTCATTGCCTAT